CCACCGCCTCATTGGCAGGGGCAGCCCCGGGCCACGCCCCCGCCGCGCGCCCATTGGCTCCGCGCCGGCGGGACGCGCCGGGGAGCCGCGCGGGGGGCGCCCCCTCCGTTGACCACCCCGCGGGTGACGTCAGGGGAGCCGCGCGTCGCCCCGGGCAACGCGGCCGCCGCGCCGAGCCCCGCCTCTTTTCTACTACGGGACACGCCCCTATCCGCCACGCCCCCAGCGGCGGCGGCGGGGAGGGCCCGGTACGAGCAGGGCCCCGCCCCCGGCCCGCTGGCCACGCCCCCAAGTGAGCCGAGCCCCGCCCCCTGTGCGCCCCAGAACAACCATCGTGCAAGCCCCGCCTCCTTCAGCACAAGCCACGCCCCCCTCCGAGAGCCACGAGCCCCCCTGGGTCCCCCCGTCGCGGCGTGACCCCAGCCGGGGCTCGGGTGTCCCCTGACTCCAGTGCCACCATCCTGCCATCCTGCCTATGTTTTACCCATTTTTCAAGACACCGTCTCACACTGTAGGATATATAATATAACGCAATGTAATATAGCAGTGTATAGTATAGTATAGCCTCACTAACATAACGTTGGGCTCGGCTGGGCGGCGATCCAACTTGGCAAAGCTCCGCTCCAGGTGGGAAGCCTCTGCTTACAGGCCTCCGGAATGGAGGCTCAGCCTCCCCGTGCGTCCGCCGTCCTCTCCGCTACACCTGCCCCGGTTCAGCGCAGACCCGCAGTATGTTTCGCCTGCCCCGGGGGCCAGGGGGAAGGATCCTTCCTCCTCTCTCAGAAGCCTTTTGGCCCATTTGGAGCGTGGTCCTGTGGTCCTCACGTTATGAGTCAAAGCACTCCCACGTGGCTCCCTGTGCGCCAGAGCCGCCCTTTCCCAGAGCTCCAGGTGCTCCCGCTGGCCGCTGTCCAGCCGTTGCCAGGCCCAGCTCTGCCGGCAGCGCGGGGGATCCCGGCCCGAGGGCTGGCGCGGGTGCCGCTGTCCCCGCTGCACTCCCAGGGCCCTGCAGCCACCGCCGCAGCATTGCCCTGCCCGTGCCGCACTACATCCCGTGCACTACGTGGCCTTCGAGTTTCCTCACCCTTGGGCAACAGCCTGCACACACCCAGGTGCACGCTGTCCGGTGAAACGGTGGTGTCATCCGTAGCCAGCCGTGCAGAAATGCGCCGCTCTCGCTCACCTGGTGCCTCGTCTCCCCCGCGGTGCTCGTCCTCGCCATGCAGCAGTGACAGGCCTTGTGCGACTGCTCACTGCTGTGGCCAAGACGATCGTGCTCGCTCTCCGGCTTTGTAACTTCTTGCAACTAAAAGCAATGGGGTCCCCAAAAGCCTGGGAGTTAGGGGCAGCTCCAGCCCACTAGTCTGGGGCATGGTGCACGCTCAGGAGCAGCACGGGGCGGTTCCAGCACCGCCTTCCACAGCACCTGCTTAACTATCACTTAACGTCCTGACACGCGGCAAGAGCGTTTGTAGGAAGCCAGCTGCACGCCGACACCATCCCAGCAAAGCAGCAGGTCTCGGTGCTCCCGCACCCAACGTTCCAGCGGGGAGAGGAGCCCGCCGGAGAGGAGCACCCGGGCCCTGGCTGCGTGCAGTGCCCTTTGCTCCTGCTTGGCCCCGGTGCCCGGCAGACGGTGCCCGCACCACCGCGTCGCGGTGCCGAGGGACGAGCCATGCGGGCGAGCGCTGGGCTGGCGGGACGGCCCGAGCAGAGCGCCGCGCTGCAGCTTGGGGGACCCTCTAGCCGCGTCTGCGCAGACCCAGGGCACACAGCATGGTCTGACCTCCCTCGCGGGCCCGTGTCTAATTGCGCAAGGGGTAATAACCTCATTTTTCCTGGCCTTCCTGGGGTGTCCCCACCACGGGGTTAGCGCTGGGTGCAGCACACCCTGGGCCTCCTTCCAGCTCCCAGGAGCAGTGTGGAAACGTCTCACCGGCACGGGGGCGGTTGCAGCCTTCGGAGCCGGCTGGGTGCTGAGTGATCCCTGTGTTCCCAGGGGCCAGGCGCCCTTCGCCTGCCAAACCTGTCATCTACCCCACATGTACCCAGCTTCCCGCTGGGCTGTGCCGCCGCCTCCCCGTGCCCAGCCGGGAAGGCTGCTCCTGCGATTCCCCCGGGCTCCACGTGCAGAAGAGCCGGTCTGCCCTTGGTGATGATGGGCGCCGGGAGGTGTTGCGTGGAGCTCACGCTCCAAGGGAGGGACGGAGGGGATGCTCTGCTTGGACGTGTCCAGCCGCACCGCGGCGCCTGGGTCCCCGCAGGGGAAGGGGCAAGCGACGGGCGGTGGGACATGGTGGGATGGGGGGCAGCGCCCAGCAGACGGGCACTTCCCTGCCTCCCGCCTCGCTCTGCTTCAAGTCGCCTGTGAAGCTGGGCTGAACACTCTCCACAGGGTCCCTGGCAGGAGGACCTCTTGGACCACCGTCTCCCCCACACTTCTGGCTCCCCGCCGCTCTTTACACCCTCCTCACTTGCATTTCCTCCCTGATTTGAATGGCAGCAGGGCGCAGCCAGCCTAGGGCAGCCACCGCCACCCTGCCCGCGGCCAAGCCCCTCCAGGCTCCCCAGTCCAGCCTCCCCATGCTGCGGGGCCCTGCTCACACTTGGCTCCTCAGGGCTCTCTGGAAAGCGCTGTCCCCTCCACTGCCATTCTTGGAGGAGCCCCAGCAACACGGGGCCCAGAGCTGTCCTGGCAGGACAAGGATGCTCCCGTGGAGCAGCGTGGCAGCCAAGGAGGACCAGGCTGGGGAGCGGCAGAGACAGATGGGGATATGTGCCCAGCTCTGGCTCTCGTGCAGTATATCCATGCAAAAACACCATCGGGATCCAAAAAACACATCGGTTACCAGTTTCTTTCCCTGCCAAGGAGAAATCCACCTTCCAGGGTCACAACGAGCTGTGTGAGCTTCAGTGTGAGCGTCCCCGGGAGCAGGTGGCATGAGAAGAAGTCCCGGCCAGGGTGAGATCATGAGCCCCCCGGGGTGTCCTGTCCAGCACCCTCTCCAGGGCTGGCTCCGGCGGGGCTCGGCACAAAGCCGGTCCTAACGGGAACCGGCTAACAGGATTTCCCATGGCTTTTTGCAGAGCGCCAGGGGGAACTTCTGTTCTGAGGAAAGTCCAGCAGCTTCGCAAGAAATAATAATAATCATAATGAAAAGAATCTGTTCTGCATTAAAAGGAAAAGCCGCACTTTAAGCATGCCCTGTGAAATGAAAATTCGCCTGAATATTAATTCAGGCCTTTGAAAAGTTGTGTGTGACAACCCCAAGTTGTCTCTTCTCAGAGCACTGGCACATTCCCGTGCAAAAAGATTTCGAGCGGTGCATATTAAAAAATACTTTCACGGAACATAAACTTGAAGTTAAGCGAATGAAATGATAAAGTCAAAATGAAATATTTTTACTTTCCTGAAATGAGTTTGGTGTTTTGACATGATCAGAATAAACATTTTGACACTGCTGAAACAAGAAAGTCAAAGTGATTCTGCTAAGACTTTTTTTCCTGTAGAAAATGGCATCAAAATCGACGAGTTCTCAGGGAAAGCTTTGATTTCAATAAAACCATGTTTTCTGAAGGAAAATCATTCCAGATAATGTTTTCCCTCAGCACTACTTGGAGACTTTTCTAGCCAAGAGCCATGTCACCCATTTGAAAGTCACTCACCCCCATCTGTCCCCTTTCCAAGGGTGAGGACCACAGGCTGACCAGCAGGAAGCATCAGGGTTTATCCTCTCCTTCACATCAGGAAAACGGCCACTAGAATTCAGTGGAACTAAATCTAGTGGAGCTACATTTTCCTGCCTTTCTTTGGAGAAATTTCACTGACAAAAATTTGGGGCTGAAAACGGAAATTTTTGCATTTTCAATTTCTGGGACTTGATGAAAAAGCA